CCCAGCACTGGGATCAGCCCAGTCCATCCCAGTTCAGCCCAGCCCAGCACTGGGATCAGGCCCTGTTGTAATTCCTGAAGTTGTGGTGGTTTGTCTACAAATAAAGGAATTTATTTGGATTTTTGGCTCAATGCACTGAGCCAACCCTCTTCTTCCTCAATTCACATGGATTTTTATGGCAGGTGCCATTTCCATCTACATCCCTCTCATTTTTATTGAAAATTTCCAAGGAAGGATTTTAAGACCAAAGTAAAATTTTATTGAAATGAAATTCAATGAGAACCACGAGGATTAAAATAAAGCAAAGTTGAATATTTCATTTGGGTTCATATTTCTGATTTGTTACATCCTGGCTGTTCTATTGATCTGCTTAAAAACAACCTCAGAGTACATTTACACATTAAAATGTTACTAATAAAGGAATATATTCTAATAAAGGAATTTATTCCTATTTTTGGTCTTCATTCAATGCACTGAGCAGGCCCTGCTGTTCCTGAGGGGTTGAACCACTCAATTCATATGGATTTTTATGGCAGGTGCCATTTCCATCTAAATTTTTATTGGAAATTTCTAAGAAAGGATTTTAAGACCAAAGTAAAATTTTATTGAAATGAAATTCAATAAAAACCACGAGGATTAAAATAAAGCAAAGTTTAATATTTCATTTGAGTTCATATTTCTGATTTGTTACAGTCTGGCTGTTCTATTGATCTGCTTAAAAATAACCTCAGAGTATATTTACACATCAAAATGTTACTAATAAAGGAATTTATTCTAATAAAGGAATTTATTCCTATTTTTCGTCTTGACTTAATGTACTGAGCCAGCCCTGCTGTTCCTGAGGGGTTGAACCACTCAATTCATATGGATTTTTATGGCAGGTGCCATTTCCATCTACATCCCTCTCATTTTTATTGAAAATTTCTAAGAAAGGATTTTAAGACCAAAGTAAAATTTTATTGAAATGAAATTCAATAAAAACCACGAGAACTTAAAAAAGCAACGATTTCATTTTTATCTACTTCAAAAACAACCTCAAAATGTGCTCACACATTAAAAAGTTAAATTCATGTGGGCTCAGCCTGGACAAACCACAAAGAAAAGCGATCTGGGGTTACCCTATTGATAAAATCTTGCCAAAAATCAGATTTTTCGCTGCCAGGGATTGCTGAGCTGCTGCTGAATTTTCCCTGATGGATTTTGATTTGCTGCTGTGGCAGGAGGAGACCATCAAGGATTCCTCAGGGCAGGAAGATGAGACCCAATCCTCCAACGATGACCCAGCCCCATCTGTTGCCTCTCAAGACCCCCAGGAGATCATTCGCCCTCGGCGCTGTAAATATTTTGATACCAGTAAGTCCAGTTTAATCAGCCCCAAAACCCCAGTGTTCTGCGCCAGAAATGCACTTTGAGCCCTAAAAATACTGATTTTCCTCTTCACGGCTCCGCTGCTGATGAGAATTGTGCTCCAAACAAAGAAGGAAAAGTCCTGGTTTTAGCTGAGGGTGAAGCTGCTCTGCTGGCTCTGTGAAGGACAGGAGATAATCTCTGATTTTACAAGAAAGGAGGAGATTTGGGGGGGAAATTAAAAATTGAAATTGCAAATTGAATTTTTACAGGTTGAAATTCATTGGTGTGCTCTGGTTATTTGCCAAAACCTGGCCTCTGTCCTCATCCAAAGGAGCTCAGAGTCCACCTAAAGGGAAAAATCAGCTGAAATTCCCTACAAATAAAACACAGATTTCCTCAGAAAGAGAAAATAAAATCTGGGAAAGGCCCACAATTGTTAACCCTGAAACAGCGGAAGGGGAGGGCTCACAAAGAAGAAAATTTGCTTCAAGAATTCCAGTTTTGATTCTGCTGCCAGCACTCAACTGATCATTTTCATTCTTACTTTGTTTCCAAATTGAGTTTGCATCCACTGAACTCTGATTTCCCTGGAATCTCCCCTGATGGGATCTGACCCTTTTGGGCTGCTTGGGACAGCAGATATTTTATCTTTCTTCAATAAAAGTGGCAGTTGCTAATTGAATTCCTTCTGTTCCGTGCTTGAACAAATAAAAGGTTCTTCACCATACCTTACACTTGATGATTATTAGTTGTGAAGTTGCAAATATGTAATTTTTAATTTGTGGTTTATTTAAATCCAAAATTGCCAAGGAACCTTTAAATTTAAATGAACAATTGCCAAGTGTGTATCTGTGCAGAGAATTGCAAATACCTTCAATAAATTCCTATTTTTAAGCACAGAATTAACTTCATTAGAGTGTATTGCATTAGGTTTGGGCTTTTTTACAGCTTTCAGCTGGGTATAAAATATCATTTGATGTATAAATAACTTTAATGCTGCTGTATCACATCCTGTACAGAAACCAGCACCTTGTGAAAGGCAGCTGGGCTATGCCATAAAGAGCTTAACATTCCTGCCAGTCCTTATCCCAGATAATCTCCTGGAAGTGCTGCTGGGCATCCCAGGCTCCTAAATCCCAGCAGGAAACACTCCCAGATTTCTCCCACCTTCTGCTGAGATCTACCTGAAATTCCCTGGAAAAAGAGCAGCAGCAACTAAGCCACGAGCTGATGGAAAAGGGGTTGAAACCCCCAAAAATATTCCCACAAATTTAGAACAAACTTGGATTATCATTTAGAATAAACTTCCTTTAAAACCGAGGGAAAAGAAATTTGAATTTAGTAACAAATTGAGAAGTGTTTTTATTTATGTCTGAATTTCTCAGAGCCTGGCTTGTATCTTAATCCAAATGTGGGTGGGTCATTTTTTAATCTTGTCACTGCTGAGCCATGAGTGTTGTCCCCAAAAGTGTCCCTGAGATAAGGAGGGAGCGAGGGAGCAGGGCTGAGGCTGCTGCCAGCCCTGCTCCTCTGGGCTCAAATGGCTGCAAAATTCCTTGCAGATAGCGAAATAGAGGAGGAATCTGAAGAGGATGAAGATTACATCCCCTCAGAAGACTGGAAAAAGGTAAATATTCATCCCACATTTCATGAATAATTAATTCATCTGTTACTGGGTAACTCTGAGCTCTGTGGAGCACTGAAATCCTCTGCAGTTTTCCCTCATAAATAGAAGAGTTTGGGTAATGAGAAGTCTTTAAATCCTTCCCAAACAGTCAAAAATCCATTTCCATATAGCTGCCTTCAATTTTGATCCTGTTAATTGCATTTTTAGGTTTTAAACAATGAAAGTTTTAAGAGGGGAGGAAAAAAAGATGTGGTCATGCTCCTGTTTGCTAACAAAAAAATCTCAGGGTGGTTTCATTCTTTTTATTCCAACCAGGAAATCATGGTGGGCTCTATGTTCCAAGCTGAAATTCCAGCTGGCACCTGCAAATACAAAGAAAATGAAAAAGGTGAGATTTGACCATTTGTTGCTGTTTGGGATTAATGTCTGCTTAGGAGAAAGAAAAGACTGGATTGACGTCACGTGTCTTAATAAATAAATGAGTGACAATTAGAGCCACCATCATCAAATTAGAGCTCATCCTGTGCTTCAGCAGAGCTGGAGGAAGAGGAAAAGAAGGATTTTATTCTTGAACCTTTGGATTCTGATTTAGTGACCCACACAAGCTGCAGCCTCTTCACTTACGGATTTCTTTCATGTAAAATGAGACAGCTAATGGAGAAATTGTACTGCTGGAACTGGATTATCACATTAAAAAGGGCAACATGGTACCAGCAGCTTTGGTTTTCATATTTTGTTCCTCTTCAATCAGGAGTAAGGAGTTCTGCTTTTGTAGATTTTTTTATTTTTTTTTTTCCCCAGCAATTTTCCCCCTCATCCCAAGCAGAGACTTTGGCTGGATGCTGTCAGAAAAGGCAGATCCAGTTTAAACCCAGCTGGGAGCAGAAAAAGGAAATTTTCCTGCTCATCCAGCCCCTTCCTAAGGATTTGCTCACACTGCAGGTCAATGAGAATGGATTTCTTTGTAGTTTTGTAGAATTTAATTTTTAAATAACCACCACAAAGCCTGGAACCCTCCTAGAATCCAAGTTTATGCTCAAACATCTCATTGCCCAGGGAGGTGGGGGATTCCCAAGGTTCCCTGGAGGCTCCAGGCCAGGCTGGACAGGGCTTGGAGCCCCCTGGGCCAGTGGAACTCCCTCCTCCCAGTGGAATTGGATGATTTTTAAGGTCCCTTCCAACCCAAAGCATTCCAGGATTCTCTGACAGTTCCTATAACTCTTTTTTTTTTTTTTTTCCCTTGAGTGAGCAGCCAAACATCAGCTGAGTTGGAACTCAGAAACAAAATCCCAGAAAATTCCTGGGAGCTGTTCCCAAAGCGTGTCCTGGGTGAAGCAAAGCTGCTTTCTTTGCAAGGCATTTAATCATTTCTTTGCCACTTTGGGGGGTTTATTTGTATTTATTTCCATGATAAATTACTTTTTCCAAGTAGACATTGATCCCTGAGCTTTCCCCACGCCTCCCTCCCTGTGCTTTCCCAAGCATTCCTTTGGAATCAGTGTTCAAATTCCTTCCTTGCTGCTCTTCCTCACGTTGTTGGAGCCCACAGACAAGGTCTGGATATTTTCCTACTTTAACAGCCAGAATTTAACTTCATTTTGCTGCAGTCCAAAGCATGGCTCTTCCAAAATAAAACTCTTCCAAAATAATCAGGGGATATCTCACTTGGCCCACATTTCTCCATTAATTTGAGTTTACTGTGGCTTCCCTGCCCTGAAACTCCTGTGAAAACTCTGGGAAAAGGTGGAGCTTGGAATTCTGGAGTTGCAGGATGAGTTCTATAATCCAGAACCCAGACCATGGCAGGGGTTTGAAGGCAAAGTCCAAAACCCAAATCCAAAACCCAAATCCAAAATCCAAGTCCAAAACCCAAATCCAAAACCCAAATCCAAATCCAAAACCCAAGTCAATTGGATCTCTGCATCCATGAGGTTTCCCCTGATTTCCAGATTAATGCTGCTCCCAGGGTCGATCAGAGACAATAATTACCTTCATCATAATTTCATTTTATGATCATGATTTCATTTTCTTGTGCTCTCCCTGGGGTTTACCCAGTGTATGAAAATGATGACCAGCTGCTCTGGAATCCAGACTTTCTACCAGAGGATAAAGTGATAGAATTCCTCAAGGAAGCCTCGAGGCGCACGGGAGAGGAGAAGGGCCTGGATGCAATTCCTGAGGGCTCCCACATTAAAGACAATGAGCAGGTATAAAAAAATAACCACAATATGCCGTTTATTTTCTAGAATTAATCGTTTCTTTATTTCATTTTACTCACAAGAGGTAAAATTGGGTTTGAAGGTTTATTGTTCCTTGTGGAAACAGAAATTTGATGAGGATGTTACCTCTCCGAGAATATTAAAACTGTTAACTTGGGCTTAATGTTGATTTATTTAAAAGAAATACATAAGAAAATAAATAAGATCTTTATATATATGTATATAAATCTGTATTAATTAATTCTCTCAGGGACAGAATTTTTCAATGATGAAATTCTTTATGAATGCACACTTAATTTTTTCTTCATACCCAAAAAAAAAACCCTACACATCAATTTTACAAATCAATTTTACAAATGCCTGTAATGGATGAAAAAGCTTCAAAAAAATCCTCTATCACTTCTACAAATGTGTGCAGTGGATGGAAGAGTTGCAGTGCTGTGCTTGGGTATTTTCTTGGTCTGTAAATGGAGAATTGGAAATGCAAACACAGTAAATACATCTTCAATTACACCGAGTTCATTCCAAGGTTTTATTAGAAAATAAATAAGATCTTTATATATACCTATATAAATCTGTATTAATTAATTCTCTCAGGGACAGAATTTTTCAATGATGAAATTTTTTATGAATGCACACTTAATTTCTTCTTTATACCCAAAAAAACCCCCTACACATCAACTTTACAAATCATTTTTACAAATGTGTGCAGTGGCTGGAAGAGTTGCAGTGCTGTGCTTGGTCTGTAAATGGAGATTTGGAAATGTAAATACATTTCCAACGACCCCGGGCTCACTCCGAGGTTGATTCCCAATCTGCAGAGGAGGTTTCTTTTTAATCTGGGTTTTTGTGGCCGTGCCCGGCAGGTTTTGGGGTTTCTGCAGTGGGAAATGTGTGCCTCTCCTCTCTGCAGGCCCTCTACGAGCTGGTGAAGTGCAATTTTGACCCCGAGGAATCCTTACGGAGGCTGAGATTTAATGTCAAAGCAGCCAGAGGTGAGCATGCCCCAAAAAGCAGTTTCTGTTCCTAAATTCCCATTTTAAAAGTTTCTCTTCCTAAATTCCCATTTTACAGCAGTTTCTGTTCCTAAATTCCCATTTAAAAGCAATTTCTGTTCCTAAATTCCCATTTTAAAGCAATTTCTTTTCCTAAATTCCCAGTTTAAAGTAGTTTCTCTTCCTAAAGTCCCATTTTAAAGCAGTTTCTGTTCCTAAATTCCCATTTTAAAGCAGTTTCTGCTCCTAAATTCCCATTTTACAGCAGTTTCTGTTCCTAAATTCCCATTTTACAGCAGTTTCTGTTCCTAAATTCCCATTTTAAAACAGTTTCTGTTCCTAAATTCCCATTTTGCAGCAGTTTCTGTTCCTAAATTCCCATTTTAAAACAGTTTCTCTTCCTAAATTCCCATTTTAAAGCAGTTTCTCTTCCTAAAGTCCCATTTTAAAGCAGTTTCTGTTCCTAAATTCCCATTTTAAAGCAGTTTCTCTTCCTAAATTCCCATTTTACAGCAGTTTCTGTTCCTAAATTCCCATTTTAAAGCAGTTTCTGTTGCTAAATTCCCATTTTAAAAGTTTCTCTTCCTAAATTCCCATTTTAAAGCAGTTTCTGTTCCTAAATTCCCATTTTAAAAGTTTCTCTTCCTAAATTCCCATTTTAAAACAGTTTCTCTTCCTAAATTCCCATTTTACAGCAGTTTCTCTTCCTAAATTCCCATTTATTTCCCTGGGATTTGCTGTCAGCAGAAGCCTGAGTTCAATGATTTAAACTTCCTTTAAATGCAGCCTCAGTGAATTTCTCATTGTGCTCCGGGAGAATGGAACTGGCAGATGTGGAAATTCCCTCCCTGCCCAGATGTGATACAAATACCTGGGATTTCTTTAAATGCCACACTCTGTAAAATAAAAAATGTTCTCCTTTATTTAGATTTTTGTTTTCATTTTCTTCTTTATTTAGAATGATTTAATTTTCTCTAGCAGCTTCAAATGGGAAATCACTTCCTAACCACTCAGCTGTGTAACATTAAAAACCCTAAATCAATTCAAAATGAATTAATTCTAAATAAAGGAGAAAATAATTTTTTTTAACAGAGTGTAGCATTAAAAACCCTAATACATAAAATGAATTAATTTAAAATAAAGGAGCAAATTAATTTTTTATTTTACTGAGTGTAGCATTAAAAATCCTGATACATAAAATGAAATAATCCTAAATAGAGAAGCAAATAAACCTTTTCTTTTACAAAGTATGATATTACAAATCCCACTACATAAAATGAATTCATTCTAAATAAAGGAGAAAATTAACCTTTTACTTCACAAAGTATAAGGTTAAAAACCCTGATACGTAAAATGAAATAATCTTAAACAAAGGAACAAATTAACTCTTTATTTTTACAAAGTATAACAATACAAACCCTGACACATAAAATGAGTTAATTCTAAAAACCCTGATACATAAAATGAAATCATCCTAAATAAAGGAGCAAATTAACGTTTATTTTACAAAATATAATATTTAAAACCCTGATAAATAAAATGAATTAATTCTAAATAAAGGAGCAAATTAGCCTTTTATTTTACAAAATATAACATTTTAAATGCTAATACAGAAAATAATCCTAAATAAAGGAGCAAATCAACTTTTATTTTACAAAATGTAATATTTAAAACCCTTCTACATAAAATGAATTAATTCTAAATAAAGGAGAAATTTAACCTTTGTTTTACAAAATATAACATTAAAAACCCCACTACATAAAATGAAACAATCCTAAATAAAGGAGCAAATGAACTTTTATTTTACAAAATGTAATATTTAAAACCCTGATACATAAAATGAAACAATCCTAAATAAAGGAGCAAATGAACCTTTTGTTTTACAAAGCATAAAGTTACAAACCCTGCTAGAGAAAATGAAATAATTCTAAATAAAGGAGAAAAATTAAAATAAAATCTAAATAAAGGAGAACATCTTTTATTTTACAGAGTGTAGCATTTAAAGTCCTGATATGTAAAATGAAATAATCCTTAATAAAGGAGCAAATTAACCTTTTATTTTGCACATAAGATGCAATAATTCTCAATAAAGGAGCAAATAAACCTTTTATTTTACAAAATGCACCATTAAACCCTGATTTTAAAGGTGCTGTGGGAGCTCTACGGGGCAGCAATGATCCAATTATTAATCAATAAATGAGATTATGCTGCTCTCCCACTGTTTTATTTACTGCTGACCTGAAGGATCAATGAGGCCAGATCAGATTTTATTTACAGATTTTATTTACAGATTTTATTTACAGATTTTATTTCCCTCCAAACCGGCTCCTCCTTTTTCCCAATCATGTCCTCCAACGGGAGAATTCCCATTTTTATACCAAAAAGGGAAATTCCAAAAAGGGAAATTCCTGGGGCTGGCCCCTATGGAATCAGCAGTTGGAGAAAGGACCCAGATGTTTTCTGTCCCTTTTGGTGGCTTTTTTAATGAACTCTTTTCTTTATTGCTTTTGTTTTTGATTTCCCTGCAGAAGAATTATCTGTTTGGACAGAAGAGGAATGCAGGAACTTCGAGCAAGGGCTGAAAGTCTATGGCAAGGATTTCCACGTGATTCAGGCAAATAAGGTAAACTTCAAGTGCAATTCTCACTTTTTACATTTTAAAACAAACTAATTACCAGTAAATTTTGTCCTTCACAAAGAAATGGACAAAATTATTTTGTTTTTGCTGTAGAATCACCAAGTCCTGGAATGGTTTGGGTTGGAAGGGACCTTAAAGATCCCACGGGCAGGGACAGTTCCACTCTCCCAGCTTGCTCCAACCTTGCAGGGATGGATCCAGGCAGGAATTTTTTCCTCCTCAGTTTTTTCCCAATATTTACATCCAAATTGGTGTCTCAAATCCCAGAATTTGTAACTGGAAGTGCAGAAATCCTGCAAAAATCCTGTGGGAAGAGCTGCTCCCCTGGAGCCTGACTCTGCACACACCCTTGCACTTTTCCTTCCTTCCACGAGACCCCCAAAATATTTTTCCAAGCGCCCTTCACTCCCCTCAAATTTCAAAATTTTACACTGAGGATCTTCCAAGCAGCTTTGACTTGGAATTTCACGCTGTTTTGCCCCAAATGCTGGATATTTTCTCTGGATCAGAATTGCTGACCCCGAGTTGCTGGCTCTGCTCCAGGTGCGGACCCGCTCCGTGGGGGAATGTGTGGCTTTTTACTACATGTGGAAAAAGTCGGAGCGTTACGATTTCTTCGCTCAGCAGACCCGCTTTGGGAAGAAAAAATACAACCTGCACCCTGGGGTCACGTAAGATGTGCCTGATTTCATCATTTCGGGGTTCAAGCTTTAGTTTATCCTGCCCTCGGCTGAAAAATCGGGGATTCGGAGCCTAATTTGCAGCAGGAAAACAGCCAAAGTGGAAAAAAAAATCATCAGAAGTGTGTATAAATGATGTGTAAAATACATTTATTTGGGGTGAGGGCGACACTTTGCACTGAGGAGCAGTCTGAGTTTGAGTCGTGTTAGAATTGGATTGGTTTACTTTTTAAATGTTAATAGGTTTTTCTTCTAAACGCTTGCTTTAATTAAATACATTTTCTACAAAAGCATGGATCCCGAGTTCCAGGTGGGACTTGTGGTGCATTGTTTGTCCATCATTCTGGCCAGCACAACACCAAATCCTGGGGGACTTGGGGCTCTCCAAAGCTCCGTTCCCATTCCCATCCTGGTGGGGAAGGAGGGAGCAGAGCTGCCCTCCCAGCTCCTTCTGCTGCCCTTCATTCCAAAGCTCCTGCACCAAACGGGATCTGCCAGTCCCACTCTTTCCACTGCCTCCTGCCAAGCTTTTCCACCAGTATTTTCATTCCTCATTTCTCCCTGGCTCCTCTCTCCATCCTTCTTTGGAATATTGTTGTTTCTCCAAGCCCTGCGGGGCCCTGGGACACCCAGAGTTGCCATCAGGGACTTTGTGGGTGTTAAAGAGTTTTTTACCTGGCAGGGACTGCCTGGCTCCCCCTTTCCTTCCATCTCTTGCTGGGTTTCCCCCCCTGGTTTTCATTTTCCCCCTATTTTCCATTTCCCCCCACCATTTTCCATTTTCCCCCCTATTTTCCATTCCCCCCCTATTTCCATTTCCCCCCCATTTTCCATTTCCTCCTATTTTCCATTTTCCCTCTTTATTTTCCATTTTCCCCTATTTTCCATTTTCCCTCCTATTTTCCATTTTCCACCTATTTTCCATTTTCCCTCCTATTTTCCACTTTCCCTCCTATTTCCCACTTTCCCTCCTATTATCCATTTCCCCCTATTTTCCATTTCCCCCTATTTTCCATTTCCCCCTATTTTCCATTTTTCCTCCTATTTTTCATTTTCCCTCCTATTTTTCATTCCCTCCCATTTTCCGTTTTCCCTCCTATTTTCCATTTTCCATTTTTCCTATTTTCCATTTTCCCCTCCTATTTTCCATTTCCACCTTATTTCCATTTTTCCTCCTATTTTCCATTTCCCCCCCTATTTCCCATTTTCCCTCTTATTTTCCATTTTCCCTCCTGTTTTCCATTTTCCCTCTTTATTTTCTATTTTTCCTCCTATTTTCCATTTCCTCCTATTTTCCGTTTTCCCCCATTTTCCATTTTCCCCCCCCTTTTCCATTTCCCCCCTATTTTCCCTCCTATTTCCCCTTTTCCCCTATTTTCCCCCCCCCCTGTATTTCCCCCCTATTTTTCCTTTTCCCCTATTTTCCATTTTCCCTGTATTTCCCC